CAGGTCACAGTACCACAGCTGGTTGACCGGCTCACAGCCCTCAGTGATGGACAGAACCGCGTAGCGTCCGTCATCAGAGATCTGTGGACAGGAGGACAACAATCAGAACCAGATGTTACTGCGGGCCCAGAGGAACCAGAACCAGATGTTACTGCGGGCCCATAGGAACCAGAACCAGATGTTACTGGGTCATTGTTCTGGTGAGCAGCCTTTGATGGTAAACTGAATTAACAAACCCAGAACCCAGAAGCTGAATGGTGCTCTGAGGAGGAGAACTGATCATTTAAAACCTTGAAATCCGGGTCAATCTTAGGGCCAGATGCTGACTGGTCACTAAACGCAAAACAACCAAACACCTCGACCCACCAGAGGTGTGGTGCCGACCCGTTGCTCTGGTTTGGAGATGCTTGATGGAACCTTGATAAATCATAAGGAGGCTCTGGCTGGTTCGGGTTGATCTGGGTCAGAATCTCAGGTTTCTGCTGAATGTTTGCCCTAAACAGGGACTGGAACCAAAATCAAGTGGGTTCTTCAGACCTAAAGAGAATAGATTCTACAGACCTCTTCCCGCTACCGACCGATAGATAGCGGAACCCGGGCTTGGACTCACAGTGACGGAGCTGTGCCATTTGGGATGATCCGGGAACTCTGCGACCAGGATGTCCTCGGACTGCTTGGTTCCGATGACGTGATAGAAGAGCTTCTGGTTAATGTTGGACGTGGTCTCTGTGCCTGCAGGAACAGGGGCTCATTATTCTGATTCAAGGGTCCACTTTCTGGTTTAAGAGCTTCAAAACTAGTCCAGAACCTTGGATCCTGGTTGGTCCCATTATCGTTCTTTATCTATTAGAAAATATCATAATAATATCCCATGTTAGAACCATTTAGACGGTCCGTGTTGGACCGACTAGTTCTAGCGCCCGGCTCTAGGCTCTGAATCTGTGCAGTGGGACGGATGGATTACCGTCGCTCTTTCCTTCCTGGGGGGGGTAGCAGTTGTAGAAGATGCCCTTAGCGTCGTGGGTCCAGGCCAGGCAGCTGAACTTGACCCGTTCCAGGACGTCCGGCAGCTCGGTGAGCCCCTCAGGTTTCAGGAAGCGCAGGGTGACCCAGTCTGAGCCGCTGCTGCTCAGACCGTAAGCGAAGTATTCACACTCCTCAGACAGCCGTCCCACTGAGAAGGACAGGGACAGAGGTCAAAGCGGTGAGACGCTTCCAGGACAGCGTCTGCAGCGGGACTCACTCTTAAGAGCCACGGTTCCGTCTTCAGACAGCTTGTTTGGGTCGAAGAACACAGAGGCTGGAGCATCAAGGGAGTCCTGCACATACAGCACGTCCTGGTTCTGGAGGCCTTTGTTGTGGAAGTAGAAGTACCTGAGCAGAGAGGCAAGGAAAGTACCGTGAGGGGGGAATAGGGTTAGTGTTGGTAACAAAACTGTTAACGTTGGTCACAGAACCGTTAGCCATAGCAACAGGACCATTAGCCACTGTAACAGAACCATTAACGTTGGTAACAGAACTGTTAGCCATGGTAACTGAACAATTAGTGTTGGTAACGGAACGGTTAGCAATGGTAACATGACTGTTAACGTTGGTAACAGAACTGTTAGCGATGGCAACAGGACCATTAGCCACTGTAACAGAACCATTAACATTGGTAACAGAACTGTTAGCGATGGTAACAGAACCATTAGTGTTTGCAACAGAATCTTTAGAGATAGAAATAGGACTGTTAATGTTGATAACTGAACTGTAAGCGATGGTAACAGAACCATTAATGACGGTAACTGAACTGTTAGTGATGGTAACAGAACTGTTAGCTGGTTATTTTACTGGCCTTCAGGGGAAGACCATTTCTGACATGTTTGCTTTACTGTCCTAAACATTGGTTTTATGCAGAAAAAAAGAGGTTTTTCTATCTTCGTGTTTCTTTGTTTGTTTGTTTGTTTTTTTTTATACAGAAAGTCCATCCATCCATTCCATCATTTTAGCGTAAATCAGATGATCTGACCTGATGGTCAGACATCGTTTCCTTCTGCTGCAGTAAAGTAGGGTTAAATGTTTTGGTCTGTAATGGAAATCTTAGCCGCTCCACTGTGACCAGAACCAGAGATCTAAGGCCTTGAGGTTCTAGCTGAGGTTCTGGCCTGGAGTCCGTCGGGTACCTGGATCCTCGTTTGTAGGGGCAGCTGTATTTGGGGTAATCGTAGAGCTCGGTCAGGCGCTGCTGGAACCTGGCCCTCACGGCGCAGCCCTCCAGGTACGGCATGGTCACCTTGTTCTGCTCCTCTACAAACGCCTGAGCAGCAGAAACAGAGACGGGGTGAAGCTTCTGAGTCACAGAGGGAGCGCGCCTGCAGGAGGACGAGTGTTACCATGGTTTCTGGGCTGTCAGGGTCCTCCAGCCAGGCGTAAGGATCACAGATCTTGGTTCCGTGGTATTCATCCACCTGCACAACAAACAACAGTAGAGTTTGGCACTGAAGCTTGATATTCCTGTTCTCAGCTATTTCTTTCACTCTGATTTCTCTGGAACCGAGTATCAACTGCCATCAGCAGATGTAATATTTGGCTCATAAACCGCAGAACTGACAGCTCTGGAATGCACAGATCTATTGTTGAAGCTTCTGAAGCACCGACTCCAATCAGCAAGTGATGCCATCAGACCAGAGCACGCACACGGCGTTATAAGGAATCAGTCTTTATTTAACCACAACTGAATGACGCCTCAGAAGGAGCTTTAGGGAGGCCTGAACTCCCTGCACCGCCGCCGGCCTGCGTCTCGTCTATAGAGTGAACACTTTCATCGTCAGAGATCCGGGGGCTGGAAGGCTGGTGCTCAAACCAGAACCTGGTATCCAACATCAGGGTCAGGGGTGAAGGTCTGAGCGTCAGACAATGCTAAGAGCTAAAAGAAGCTCAGATATCAGAAAAACGAACCTCTGAAGCAGAGATGGAGGAAGCAGACAGCTGATTGGATGAAGAGTGGAGCACACTTCACATTGGGTAGAGAGAAAGTCAACTTTAACCTTTAAGAGGATGGGTTTAAAGTTCATCCACATGTTCATTAAGAGGGAATTGTTGAATTAAGCTGCTAAAATAATAAAGGGATAAAATAAACAACACAATAAAACTTTAATCAAATCAAACGTCTTTGAAATCAAACTGGAAGCAACACTGACTGCCAATCAGTTCCATCTGCTGCTCAGGTGGAACTGATTGGCCATTAGAAAGGCTAACTCAGTAAAGGAGTGGATCTGCAGGTGGGACTGCAGACTTTCTCAGTCCCTCCTGGCTGATGTTTTGGTCCCTTTGAATGGCGGTGGTGCCTTCACACTCCGAACCACCCTCAGGTAGTGCAGCTGATCCAGGATGGAACATCAATGCCAGCTGTGGCCAGAAGGTTTGCTGTGTCTGTCAGAGGAGTGTCCAGAGGCTGGAGGCGCTACCAGCGGACAGGCCAGGACCCCAGGAGACACGGAGACATGGAGGACAACCCAGCAGCTGGACCTCTACCTCTGTCTTTGTGAAGGAGGAACAGGAGGAGCACTGCCAGAGCCCTGCTAAATGACCTCCAGGCTGCCAGTGTGCATGTTTCTGCATTAACGGTAAGAAACCGACTCCACGAGGATGGTATGAGGGCCTGACGTCCACAGATGGAGGTTGTGCTAACAGCCCAACCCTCCACCCTCCATGAACTCCCCAGAGGAGGCAGTGACAGGATATGAGATTACTTGTTTTTGGTTTGTTTCATATGAGCGAGATGTGGATCATATTATTTTTATGTCGTTATATTTACAGTAGGCCTACATGAAGAACTACTGAAATTAATTCCAGATTACATAAAAAGATTAATTAATTCACGGGGGAAAAGGATTAGGATTTACTCGATGAACAGCCTACTGATACAATCTGAAGCCATTCTATGGGTCTGATAGCCGCTAATAACGACCATTTATTGGAACGATAACATCCAAAGCAGCGTTTTTTGTTTTTTTTACATTGGATCCTTGATTTTCTGTTATTCCATCATGTTCTAATCAGTCATATGAGTTTAGTGTCATTTGGAGCCGTTCTGAAGATATTCTGTTAGGTTATATCCAGTAACGTCTTCCTATGGGCAACGACTTGAAGGCACAAACTAAACTGTTCATCATTTATTCTTTATGGTACGCCAGCATTCAGAACATGGAGGCCAATCACTGTCCCCCAGACATCCGCTGTTAGATTTTTATATTTATCTTTTAAAACAAAGTGTGTATGACGTCATCCGCGGTAGAACATGATTTAATAACTAAAATCAAGGGCCCAATGTTAAAAAACGGTGTTCCCCTTTAAGTCCATCTTCCTCTCCTTTGCAGCTGTAGCGCAGCTTCTCCATCTTTTCAAAACTCATTAAAATCATTAATGCATTAATTAGTTGGTTGATTAACGAATTCATAGCTGCTTTTATGAAGATTCTTAACTTTAGGCTGGATTTGGATCTGAGTTAATTTAAGATGTTCATAGAAACGGAGCGCTGGTAGATGATGATGATGATGATGACGATGATGATGTTTACTGTGGACCGGAACCAGAGGTGACATGGACCCATGGTCCTCCAGGACCCGTCTGTTGGATCTGACTGAAACCCTTTTCTTTCTTTTTTTTCTTGCTGAGCTGAATTTAGAACCAGAACCGGTTCTGGTTCCGGTCCAGTCTGCCTGCTGGAGCAGCAGCCAATCAGCGAGGAGAATTCTGCTGACGAACCTTAAAGTTTGTCAGACGCGGATCTCAGGTTTAATGGACCCGAACCCACCGGGTCGGTCCTGAACTCAGAGGCTGAGGTTCCGGGCTGATCGATAATCACTGATTATTACTGATTAATCAATAATCACTGATTAATCAGCTGTTTCCTGACTGCTTTCATTCTCCACCCGGACCGGACCGAACCGGACCGGACCGGACCGGAGTCCAAACTCACCCGGCTGAGGTCTCTGCGGGCTGCGGGGTATTTGAAGGCCATGACGCCGCTTTTCGCTCCGAACCGCCGGTGTTCTGAACAGAAAGTGAAACTTTAAAAAATAACACACAGGAAATGACGTCATCGGCACGGCAGTCCCTGCGGCCAAAAGAGAGAAAATCACCAGGAAGAAAAAACCAGGAAATAATGATTAATATTTAGAGCAGCGCAGGCAGAGGCCCACAGCATGACTGATGGATCTGCCGCAGGTTCCTCTGTGTTCTCGCCCCAAACTCCTGCTTCCTTTCCTTTCAGATCATCAGACATGTGGTCAAAGAAAACTTGATAAAATACAGAAAACTCTTTAAAAACAATGATTTCAATAATCGATGGATGGATTTACGCCCCGCGGCCGATAATGAGAAGAGGTCATGACCCCCAGCAGCGCTGAGGGGGGGTTTGCTGTAAAGGTTCCCACATGTTGGAGGCCGGACCACAAACCATGCAGTCTGAACTTTGACTAGGCTGCTAGAGGAAACTGCTGCTGGGGAGACTCCATCCTTCCCCCGGGATGTTCAGGGTGGGAGGAGGGACAGTCTGCCTGCTTGATGTCCTCCTCAGGACGCGGTGGACGCTTCCCAAACATCTGGAGGTCTGTCCACATCTAACGTCCGGAGGTGGTCCTCATTACTCATTAGAAAGTCCCTATAGTTTCCTGATCTAAGTCCTCACTAGATCAGAGCAGATTAGACCCAAACCTTTGAAAAATAATCAGCAATAATCTGCTGCAGTGTCTAGATGACAGAGACAACTATTTTACTTAATGTTTTAATTTGAGCATTTAATTCTTAGATATTTTATTCTTTCTATCTAAAATAGAAAAAGAAACATAAATGTGTTGCCTGGAAATTAGTAAGAAATTGAAACAAATACAAAATAAAATCCTTTATAAACCTTTATTTATAAACCTGGAGCTCCTCTGAGTAACTCCCTTAGAATCACATTTAAACTGGATGAGTTGTGAACAAATATTATAGACAGACTGACTTAATTAGTTTAATTTGTTTTCATCCAGATGAGCTCTGATAGCTCAGACTGAAAACCAGCTGACATCCAGTCTACATCCAGACTGTTCTCTAAATTCAGTCTGTTCTCTGCATCCAGTCTACATCCAGACTGTTCTCTGCATCCAGTCTACATCCAGAATGTTCTCTGCATCCAGTCTGTTCTCTACATCCAGTCTGTTCTCTACATCCAGTCTACATCCAGTCTGTTCTCTACATCCAGTCTACATCCAGACTGTTCTCTGCATCCAGTCTACATCCAGAATGTTCTCTACATCCAGACTGTTCTCTACATCCAGTCTGTTCTCTACTTCCAGTCTGTTCTCTACATCCAGTCTGTTCTCTACATCCAGTCTACATCCAGTCTGTTCTCTACATCCAGTCTACATCCAGTCTGTTCTCTACATCCAGTCTACATCCAGACTGTTCTCTACATCCAGTCTACATCCAGTCTGTTCTCTACATCCAGACTGTTCTCTACATCCAGTCTACATCCAGACTGTTCTCTGCATCCAGTCTGTTCTCTACTTCCAGTCTGTTCTCTACATCCAGTCTGTTCTCTACATCCAGTCTACATCCAGTCTGTTCTCTACATCCAGTCTACATCCAGTCTACATCCAGAATGTTCTCTACATCCAGACTGTTCTCTACATCCAGTCTGTTCTCTACTTCCAGTCTGTTCTCTACATCCAGTCTGTTCTCTACATCCAGTCTACATCCAGTCTGTTCTCTACATCCAGTCTACATCCAGTCTGTTCTCTACATCCAGTCTACATCCAGACTGTTCTCTACATCCAGTCTACATCCAGTCTGTTCTCTACATCCAGACTGTTCTCTACATCCAGTCTACATCCAGACTGTTCTCTACATCCAGTCTACATCCAGTCTGTTCTCTACATCCAGTCTACATCCAGACTGTTCTCTAAATTCAGTCTGTTCTCTAAATCCAGTCTACATCCAGATTGTTCTCTACATCCAGTCTACATCCAGACTGTTCTCTGCATCCAGTCTGTTCTCTACTTCCAGTCTGTTCTCTACATCCAGTCTGTTCTCTACATCCAGTCTACATCCAGTCTGTTCTCTACATCCAGTCTACACCCAGACTGTTCTCTACATCCAGTCTACATCCAGACTTTTCTCTACATCCAGACTGTTCTCTACATCCAGTCTACATCCAGACTGTTCTCTAAATTCAGTCTGTTCTCTGCATCCAGTCTACATCCAGACTGTTCTCTGCATCCAGTCTACATCCAGACTGTTCTCTACATCCAGACTGTTCTCTACATCCAGTCTACATCCAGACTGTTCTCTGCATACAGTCTGTTCTCTACATCCAGTCTGTTCTCTACATCCAGTCTACATCCAGTCTGTTCTCTACATCCAGACTGTTCTCTGCATCCAGTCTGTTCTCTACATCCAGTCTACATCCAGTCTGTTCTCTACATCCAGACTGTTCTCTACATCCAGTCTGTTCTCTACATCCAGTCTACATCCAGTCTGTTCTCTACATCCAGTCTGTTCTCTACTTCCAGTCTACATCCAGACTGTTCTCTACATCCAGTCTGTTCTCTACATCCAGACTGTTCTCTACATCCAGTCTGTTCTCTACATCCAGTCTGTTCTCTACATCCAGTCTGTTCTCTACATCCAGACTGTTCTCTACATCCAGACTGTTCTCTACATCCAGTCTACATCCAGACTGTTCTCTACATCCAGTCTGTTCTCTACATCCAGTCTACATCCAGTCTGTTCTCTACATCCAGTCTGTTCTCTACATCCAGTCTGTTCTCTACATCCAGTCTGTTCTCTACATCCAGTCTACATCCAGTATGTTCTCTACATCCAGTCTGTTCTCTACTTCCAGTCTGTTCTCTACATCCAGTCTGTTCTCTACATCCAGTCTACATCCAGTCTGTTCTCTACATCCAGACTGTTCTCTACATCCAGTCTGTTCTCTACATCCAGTCTACATCCAGTATGTTCTCTACATCCAGTCTGTTCTCTACTTCCAGTCTGTTCTCTACATCCAGTCTGTTCTCTACATCCAGTCTACATCCAGTCTGTTCTCTACATCCAGTCTACATCCAGTCTGTTCTCTACATCCAGTCTGTTCTCTACATCCAGTCTACATCCAGTATGTTCTCTACATCCAGTCTGTTCTCTACTTCCAGTCTGTTCTCTACATCCAGTCTGTTCTCTACATCCAGTCTGTTCTCTACATCCAGTCTGTTCTCTACATCCAGTCTGTTCTCTACATCCAGACTGTTCTCTACATCCAGTCTGTTCTCTACATCCAGTCTACATCCAGTATGTTCTCTACATCCAGTCTGTTCTCTACATCCAGACTGTTCTCTACATCCAGTCTGTTCTCTACATCCAGTCTACATCCAGTATGTTCTCTACATCCAGTCTGTTCTCTACATCCAGTCTACATCCAGTCTGTTCTCTACTTCCAGTCTGTTCTCTACATCCAGTCTGTTCTCTACATCCAGTCTACATCCAGTCTGTTCTCTACATCCAGACTGTTCTCTACATCCAGTCTGTTCTCTACATCCAGTCTACATCCAGTATGTTCTCTACATCCAGTCTGTTCTCTACTTCCAGTCTGTTCTCTACATCCAGTCTGTTCTCTACATCCAGTCTGTTCTCTACATCCAGTCTGTTCTCTACATCCAGACTGTTCTCTACATCCAGTCTGTTCTCTACATCCAGTCTGTTCTCTACATCCAGTATGTTCTCTACATCCAGTCTGTTCTCTACATCCAGTCTACATGTTTTGGTTAAAACTGAAAAACTTTTTCCTCATTTTAGTTCCTGATCATGTTTCTTCCTGCTCAGTCGTTTAAAATGATGACATGAAACACCTGATGAAGAAGAACCATGACTCAGCAAGAACAGAGTCTACACTAAAAAGGTTTCCTAGAACCTGAGAGGCCCCTGCTTTAGGTTCCTGTCCACACTGGGGGGATGGAAAGCCAGAGTTTCAGACGAGTAATCTGTCTAATCCATAAAGCTGTGAAAACGACTGCCGGGGGGGGCTAATTTCAAACTAATTTAGCTGAGGTGATTAAGTTGATGAGAACCAAGCTGTCGAAGGCCCATCTTCCAGTTTATTTACCTCTGATGTCATCATTCTGTTGCCAGGTAGTTTAGTCTCATGCAAGCTGCTGAGTCCGCTAACGGGTCCGAACCAGAACCAGAACCAGAACCAAGTCAAAGAAGGAAGGTTTAAATTTAGATGTTTTGAAGGTGAATATTGATATTATTCTAAAAAGGTTTGGAGGTGAGCCGGCCTCCTTCCCCAGGTAGCAGCAGTTGCTGTTTGGCGGCCATTGCTGCCGTCATTCAGCAGACGGACTGAAGTCCTGCTTTCAGAGACGCTGGCTGGTCTGCAACCACTTCATGAATCTGCTGCGTGGCCCCTGCTCTCCAGCTCAGGGTCAGAAGGACGTCTCTGCAGAGGACGTCCTCGCTGAAGGGTTAAAGACAAATGTTATATAATCTGCGTCTCCTCATCATGTCTGTAGACTGATGGTTACAGCAGGTTTGGAATGAAAGTGGAGCCTTCCCTGAACTCTCAGGGCCCTCTGGGCCCCTGCAGAGCCCCACCGTGGCCCCGCCTGCAGATGGGCTCTAATTGGCTGGAGACACCCAGGTAATTTGGCAGCGCTGAGATGAGATTAGCCAAGTCAGATTACAGCAGTCAGACGGAGTCCTGTGACTGCAGACTCCCCCGCTGAGACGCCGAGGAGGGGCCGAAAACCGTCAACCTGCTGAGGAGAGAAACCAGAGAGAGATTTTCTACCGAAAGGTTTCAGTTTCCAAACACGCCGCTGGTTGTCAGAGGAAAACACGCCACGCGCTGCGAGAGAAGTGAGCAGCGTTATTTACGGGATCTGCTGCCCTCCAGATGGTGCAGCTGACATCTAATCCCTTATTGTTCTGGATGTTTTCATCATACTGCTGCTTATCATTTCAGCATCAGACACTAATCAGCCGCTAACCTCGGCCTGATCCTGGACTTATGGCTCCGCTAAGCTAATATCTTGGCCTCATGTGACTGAAAGTGCTGCAGATTGTTTGATTCAAACA